AAAAATTATATCAAGTGAAGAAACATAGGTCCCATGGTTTCCCTTATTTATAATAACTAGTATATGTCTGAGACAAGCAGAAATGGTCAGATAAGTTGATGTTAGGTGAAATGAAACCCAAGATAAGGACTCAAATGTTTTTTCTTGCTTGCGATTGTTTCTAACATATTTATAAGATGATTTCTTTGTTGCTTTGTATGTCCCTCTCATACAGTATAACCCCTGTTTTTATAGTCAAAATTAGGTATATTCTTTTAACAAAATATGAGATGCCATATAAAATAGTTATTTGAACAATGAAATAAATTTGGTGTTGATGCTAATAGAAAACTGAATTGAGGAATAACAATAAAAATGAAGGACTGATTGCTGTATTGAACATTGATTTTCAGTTTGGGAGGCTTGGATGTTCTAAATAAATAGTATAATTTGATATATCTCCTTAAAAGTAAAGATAATATTTTGAAAGGATGAAAGAAGACCCACATTTTCCATATCATTCGTGATTAATGGAGAAAAACAAGTTATAATTTTAGAGCATCTTAATTATAGATGTGATAAAACAAGGTATTATAATTTTAGAGTATTTAGCACTCCAGTCTAGCAAGCAAATACAAGATAAACAATGTACTTTCCTTGGATCATACTTGTAAAAATAAGCACTGAGAACAGAGAAATGAATTGTACTTCTGGTTAAATCATTTCCACAGATGATCCCTGAACCTATCAAACCTGAGGACAATGTTTCCACAGTGAAGCAATTTCTCCTACTGGGCTTCTCTGACCTTCCAAACCTCCAAGGGTTTCTATCTGGAGTGTTCTTCATTATTTACATAATTATCCTTCTCGGGAATAGCCTCATAATCATAATTACCAGACTTAACCCTGCCCTACAGAAACCCATGTATTTTTTCCTGGCTAATTTTTCTTTCCTGGAAATCTGCTATGTATCAGTCACTCTGCCTGTGATTCTGGTTAATATTTGGACTCAGGACCGAACCATGCCTCTGCTGGCCTGTGCCATCCAGTTGTGCTTTTTCCTCATCCTAGGAACCACTGAGTGCTTCCTCCTGGCTGTGATGTCCTATGACCGCTACGTGGCCATCTGTCACCCTCTCCACTATCCTCTGATCATGACCCCGATGAAATGCATTCAGCTAGCCACTGGATCCTGGCTCAGTGGAATTCCAGTACAGATAGGACAGACCTGCCAGATATTCTCCCTACATTTCTGCCAATCTAACCACATCGACCACTTCTTCTGTGACATACCCCCCATTATGAAACTGGCATGTGGAGACACATCTGTACACGAACTGTCTGTCTATGTAGTGGTCATGTTAGTGGCTGCTGTTCCTTTTCTGTTGATCCTTGCTTCTTACAGCAAAATCATTTCCACCATTCTAAGGTTGCCAACAGCCCAAGGACGGGGCAAGGCCTTCTCCACTTGCTCTTCTCACCTGATAGTTGTGGTTTTATTTTATGGATCTGCTAGCATTACCTACTTCAGGCCCAAATCTAATCATTCTGCAGGAACTGACAGATTGCTTTCTCTTTTCTATACCATTGTTACTCCCATGATGAATCCACTGATATACAGCCTGAGGAACAAGGAGGTGATTGCAGCATTGAGAAAATTATTCCTTAAAACATAGTGTCATACATTTACTTGGAATCTAAAAGAGTTGATGTCACCTACCATCTTGTCTTTTCATAGTTATAAGGGCAACATTACATTCTCAACTCAGAATGGAATGTCATGCAACTTACCATATATTTTTGATATATTGAAACCTTATTCTGAAATTACTCAGCCCGACTATATAGTACACCAACTCATAGCTCTCCAATGTTATTTAGGCCTAAAGAGAATATTTTTTATAAGTAAAATTTCAACATGTTATGCTTTCCCTGTAAATGCACAGGCCATATGCAAAAATTATGCCTTGTTGTTTGAGTTTAATGAAAACTTACCTAAATGACATACCCTTCTTTGTTGCTGTTCTTTTTTATTCTATACTATGTGCATAGTAGTAATAATAGTCAAGTAGGTAATAAGGACTGGGCAAATAATAAAAGATGTAAACTCATAGAATAAATGGTTTTCACTACTACAAATCATTGGAAAATTCTAGTGTTATTGTTTTTTGTATTTTTTTTTAGCTTCAGCAAGCATTGAACTGTATTTACACAAAAAAAGTACATGAACATCCATGGACCTTTTTCCTACTAACTACACGTGGATATATATGGGTGTAACAACACTCACAACACTCTGATAGTTTCGATTTTGCATGTTTCCTACTGAGCTATTGTACTAAATAAGTTCATTTTTCAGCTATTTCTAAACACTACCTGAACATCGTCTGTATGTCCTCCTATTTATAAAATAAAATGTAATAACTTTAAGGTGAAGGAATGTGTTCAAAGTCATTTCAGGATGACTCAATCTGCAAGTGAGAGGTGTCGGCATCATGTGTTATACATCCTTTGGTGTTTGTTTGAAGGGGTGCAGGCCAGCAAGGTCTTCCAACATAGGACTGGATGGGCAGTCTCCTGTGGATGTTTGGATGGATGAAGGACACTATTCTTGGACCACACTTTGAAAGGGAAGTGGGCTTGGTCACAGGATTGTCTTGTTCTCTGCTGAGACCCACATCCACATGGCTGACTTTCACTGCCTAGGTATTCCTCTGCATAGTTTCTTCAGTCCATGGGGATGAGGGGTTTGGTTAGTGGACTAAAGGTCAAAAAGTCATTAAAGCCACGTTCTTCATGGATAGAACATTTCCAAATCTGGAAGCCAGAGCTGGGATAAGGTGACCCCCATGTATGTGGAGCTGCACATTTGAAAGCCATCATCTGATTCTTAGATCCACTGTGTTCCCACTGTCTCCTTACCCAAACCCCAAGGCTGCATGGAGAACAACTATTATGTGTGAACTGGAGCAAAATTATATTTTCCTGGAAGCATCTAACCTGGTGATAGGCTGTTTTACTGTTTTGCTGATGTCACCTCTATGAGGAAATGGGTATTTCTTTTCACAGTTTTCGTTAGTGTCAATTAATTGTAC